AACCAAATCTCTCTCAGAGGGGCGTGGGTGAGGGGCTCCTTATTTTCATCTAAAAGTAACCAGACAGAGAATCAGCACTTTGGAAACATGGGGGCTGAAAACAAAGGGATTATGGGTAATGCTGCAATGATCTGTTGGTGTTTCAGCCAATCAGAGGGACAGGCTCTGGATATATCGAGACAGTAGAATAGGGACTTTTAAAACCCTCTCCATTGTTTTTACAAAAGGAACTCATAGCTCGTATCGTCTTTCTGTCCTCTACAAAGCCAGGAAGTGATTTGCCTGGTCATTATGAGGTGTTAATAGTTGTTGAGTGGCTGTTCTGACCCAAACCCTGGAGTTCTCGCCCTTTCTCTCAGGCGATGCGCTTGCTCCTTGGAGCACTCCCTTACCGGTAGGAGCCCCGACGGAGGATTCAGCCGAGCAGAATCAGCAAAAAACTGAGGGATCCGGGGCACGCCAGCGGAGAGTTCCTGGAGCGGCGCTTCCTGAGCAGCTGCAAGCTTCTAGGGTCCTCTTTCGACTTCGTTGGCCTCCAAGGGATTCCCCTTCGCAAGAGTTCCAAGCTCTCACCACCTTCCCATCGTAAAAAAGTGTAAGCTTAATCGTCAACCTTACTTTCTACTTAGCTTAACCTCACAAAAAACACATAGAGTCAAGCGTTTGCCTTTAATGGGAAAGATTCAAGATTCAAAGGTTTAGTGGTCATATCAGGGGGTCTGCGGGGGGTCTTAAAAAGGTATTACAAGTGATACATCAATGTTAGCGACAATGAAGACTATTCTAAAAAACTGTCAGACGACATCTTCCATATTACTCGGTTGTTAAACTAACATCGTAACATGCAAGTCTCGTCCAATGCTTGGAAGATAAGGAGGAAGAGACAATAATACTGTATCTATAGTGACAAATGAGCTAATTGTGATCGCCACAGGTAACCGATCATATCATATAGTTATGTATAACCACTGTAACATGGTTGCATCTGTTTACTGAACATATTCTGACTCATGTGTGATCCGAAGTTGAAGACGTAGAGATCTTAGAGGCAGAACCTATTGCTGCAAGTTGTGAGAATACTGCGTTTATTGGCCTAGGTATTTTAATAAGCCGATGTCATGTGCACTGCGAACTGAAGATACTATCCATCGCATCACTGTGGAGTACATACATTAAACTGTATAAGCCATCGAAATGTACAAATAATGACACCCTCTATTACTCTATTCCACATTTGAAGTATATTGTATCTTAATGTCTGAACACACTGCTGCTTCTGGAACGAAATCATTTCCCAAAATGACACGATAAATAGTATACACACCTATATGGCATGATCATACACTCAACATCATATACGTCCATCCATCCATCCATCCAATATGCATCTATCCAAATGACAGATCCATCCATCCAATGTCACACTGGATCCACACTCCAATTGTACGCATCCATCCATCCATCCATCCAATGCGTTATCATCGATCCTTCATGGTAATGCCGTATCACTGGATCACAATCCTAATACAACACGGCTTAATCAACTCCGTAGCAATGTTCGTTACAAGTGTATCCAGATACTCATCTACTGTATCTACGCTACCATCAGAAGGCCATCCAGACAATTCCATGTTGAGTCCAACCATCTATCCTATCACAACCTCATACTTATCCATCTATCCATCCTATCCATCTATCACTATCCAGTGCCATAATAACGTCATGCCAGGTGAGGATACACACAGCCGGCTTATCCATCGCTCCATCCACAGAGCTATCGACATCCAAACAAAAGCAATCGACACATCCATCCCATCGCGCATACATCCATCGAATATCGATTATACAGGCAAGCCAGTAGAAGAAACTATCCATGATCCATCCATCCATCCATCCATCTAGGAATGTCTCTATTCTGTACTGCTGGTATCTACATCCATCCAGACAATAGCCTATTTCCATCTGTTAGATGATACAGCAGTCGTGTCGTGAGAGTCGAGACATTTTCCGTAGTGACTCCGTCGCTGTATACATCTGCTGCTGTAGCTACCTATCACCTATATGGCTCTCGTCTCATTGTTCAGCTTCTGCTCTGTGCGAGTGCATGTATATCTCTAATCTATAAATCTCTGCTCAGACTGATCCATCTCTCTCTCTATCTCTCTATCTCTACATACCTCTCTCTCTCTCTTATTTAGTCTCTCTATCTACTTTATCTCTCTCTCTACCATCTCTCTCTCTCTATCTTACCTCTCTCTCTCTCTCTATCTATCATCTCTTTATCTATTTATCTCTCTCCTCAATCCTATCTCTTTCTCTCTCGTCTCTGTTTCAGGTAAGTTAATCATCCCGTTATCCAATTTCTCTCTTTCATGAGCTGCCCTCACAACACAAGTTGCTAAAATTAGATCTCCACTGCCAGCAAGCACGAGTATCAGCAGGTGACGAAGTGTCCTCGGCTCTCACGTCTGCCTGTGAGTCATCCCACAGCTGTAATTGGCTTTTGTCTGCGGTTGTAGAGCAGCAAGGGACAAAAAGTTGGACATCTATTGTGTGTCATTTAGTTTCTTCTTCTTCTTGCCTTTTAATCATTTCCTTGTTTGCGCGCTGGCCTCATGTGTCGATGCTTGTTCTGTTTGCTCGTACCTGTGATGGCAGCGAGATAAGCCGGCTGTTTTATCCTCCACCTGCGCCACACGTTTTATCCACTGAATATTAAATAAGCATGTCCATTGTGAATACAGGTATGAAGTTGTGTTAGGATACAAGTTTTGTCAAGCACTAACAGTGGTATTCTCTGTGCCGCTTTCTGTGCTAGCGAGCTAATGAGCGCCGCTTTAACTACCAGTTTAATTAGCCGTGCTGCTGAAACAAAAAAATGGGATTTCCATTAATCAAGAGACGAGTGCATGTGGAGGGGAGAGTGCTGTGTGTGTGTGTGTGTGTGTGTTGTGTGTGTGTGTTGTGTGTGCTGTGTGTGTTGTGTGTGTGTGTGTGTGTGTGTGTGTGTGTGTGTGTTGTGTGGTGTGTGTGTGCTGTGTGTGTGTGTGTGTGTCGTGTGTGTGTCGTGTGGT